TCTTCTTGAATTCTCTTATAATGATCTTACCTACTAAATGCTAGAGGTTAAGATCAATATGTGGAATTTCAAGTTGAGTAAAAAGAAGAGTTTTGAATTTCTAATGGTGGGGGTACCTTTTCTAATTTTCTAAGACTAGTCAATAGGAAAGTCCTATGGCTAGACCTAGACTATTAAAGAAGTTTCTAGACCTCAACCAAAAGTGAGGTCAACAAGTATTTAGAGTACGGTTTTTATAGAGGTATATATAAAACACATTTCTCTTCTACAGGATTCAAGATGGCGGGATTTATCTTTCCATATTGACGAAACAATAATTAAAGGAGGCGAGAAGAACATTAATGAGCCGGTTCATCCTTAAGAAAGCATTTCCTGATAAAACAGGAAACAATGCAAAGGAATTGTGGAAGTTCACTTAATTTCTACAAGTGGACTTGAGCTCTACTAAACCAGCACCATCCACCCCTACAACTATTGTTGGCAGGTTAGTCAGGAATAGACGTTCTCCTCAGCATTACTCACTGACCTTGAACTACATGTTGACAATTGGTGGAGAACCACAGAGTTATGAAGAAACACTGCAAGATGAAAATTTAAGCAGGTGGGAGCGCCCATGAAGGAGAAGATGGATTTCGTATTGGGAAATCAGATATGAAAGTTGACTGAACTTCCATCAGGGAAGAAGACATTGTACAACAGTTGGGTGTCTCGGGTGAAGACTGAGCTTGATGTGTAAAGGGTACAAAGCTAGACTCGTTGTAAAAGACTTTTAGTTGAGGCATGATATTACCAATGTAGTAGGAGTTGTAAGAAGAAACATGAGTCACCTAGGAAAGAGCTTGGAGATACAAGACTATGTTGACACTGATATGCCAACTAAATGTGTTACTCTTCAGAAACTAAATTTATGTGCAGCTTCAGTAGATCTTCTAACTTGAAGACACGGTCATTGAGTTGCAGAGGTGGAAGATATCACGATTAAGGAAAAGGGCAATGCAGTCAATGGATGATACAATCAGTGTCCCAGTCTCCAAGTGGGAGAATTGTTGAGTATTGTGGAGCTCTGTCCATTTTCTTGATTTGGCAACTTCATACTTATGAAAATTCTTTGAAATGCTTACTGATTTAGCACTTTCCTGTAAAGTCTTTCCTTGATTTGATTCCACCTACTATTTTGATTTTCGAAATCAAGGAATACCGCCGCCTTTTCAAGATTTCAAAATAGTGGCTTTTCCTTAATGGGCCAACGCTTGGTTGATTAAAGCATGCTGGAAGGAAATCACAAAGGCTTGGTTAGTTCCATGGTATTCTACCTCTCGGTACTTGTTGCTTAAGACAGAAGAAAGAAAGAAATAAAAAGGCTGCTTTTTCTTTGAATTCCCCATGTTTCTTCGATTGATGCTATTGGGAAGAGAGAGAGATATAGAGGAAGAGAGAAAGAAGAAGAGTGTGTGTGTTTTCTTATAAACGTCGAGCTGATTGACATGTGTAATCTTTTGGAGTAATAAATCCTTTGCAGCTCTGTGGACGTAGGCAATTTGCCGAACCACATAAATCTGTCTGTGCATGTGTTTTTCAGTTTGTGAATTTCTAGTTTCATTGTCGTCGTTTTTCATAACAAATGTTATGATGAATACAATTTTAGAACTTTAAGGAAACTTCATAAACTGAATCTAAAGTTGTGGTTTTTGATATTTTCTGGGATAAAACTTATGAAGATGATGATTGCATTTCTCTTTGGCCTAACTATTTGATTTGTTGGTGAACTCTTTGCAGATTTTGTGACTGTCACAATTCCGTCTTAAATAGTTTCACTAAACACGGACAAAATGATCATCAGATTTTGTGACTGTCACAATTCCGTCTTAAATAGCTTCACTAAACACGGACAAAATGATCATTTTTTCAGAAACAACTGTCCCACAACTGTTTTCACACAACTGCAACAAACAAGTAGCAAACTTCCCCGCAGTAGCTTCATAGGGCAGCATAACTTAAGCCGAAATACTGAGAAATTTCGGCTGCCCCAAACAAACCTTTAGTTACTTATTATGATATATGTCCTTCACAATTTGCATTCTAATTATGGTCCTATCTAATTTTTTAATTTAAATAATATCCACCAATTACATCTATAATTAAATTATTATGAATTTCCTCTTTTCAATTTAGGTGAGCCAAGTCGACTCGTGTTTCGTCTCGAGCTTCGCAAGATGTTGGAGGAGAGATCTCTTTTAATTTTATCATTATCGGAGAGTTTTCTTTGTTATGGTGGAAATAGTCCCACAAATTGAATGTTATGCATAAATATTAAACAAAGAATGTCGGAAGAAGAGGTCAGTTTGCATGTGAAAAGAACACTTGTCGTTGTTTCAAACTGTGATTTTCGTGACACACCAATCAAACACCTTACAAGAGGGACGTGGTTCATAAATCATGCCGAAAAACTGTCCCAAATGCAGCCTTAGTTAGTTTATCATTTTATGAGTAGAGATGGTGAATTTAACTGTCAAAGTTGTTATCCTTGCTTGAGGTTGTAAATTCAGTACTATTCTATTGGCTATCAAATATGTATTTTAAAGTTGTATTATAATATGAAGCAATTTTAATGGTCCGAATTGTATGGTTAGCAATTTTAAGATAAAATCATGATTGCTATAAAATAAAACTGTACTTCATGATTGCTAATCATTTATTAACTTTAAAATAATAGTCGTGCAATGAAAAATATGTCTGATTAAATTACTCAGGGGAATGACCTGCAATTGAGACTACCTACAGTCTAGGCGACATGTGACCTGAATCACCAACAACCCATACAACCCCAACTTGGATGACCAACACACTTGAAAGCCTTCATCTTGGACAACTTGTAGCCGAAATAACCTGCAACTTAGATGAGAAACTTGTACATATAACTATCATAAATGCTCTTGTAAATCAGTGCAATAATAAATAAAATCAGACAGAATTAAGAGTTTCATTCTTTGAACTGCTGCATTAAATTTCATTTTTAAAATTTCACATATTATTTACTTTTAGCTGAATATGCTGAATATTTATATTATGAATATGTATTATTAAGCTACATAAAATAGATTATACATTTTATTATGTACATAAATTATATTGTACATAATATTATTTATGAACCTAAACTAGATTGTAGAGCCTATAAATTTAGAGATTGAAATGATGAAATATATGTAATGGGAGATTATTCTCACACAAAAAAAAAAAAAATTGTACATATGATTATTAATTTGTGGTGACATTTTAAGTAAAAGGAAGGGCCTAAACGAAAGTTTCGGTAGATTTTTCTTTACGGATATAGAGGAACTGCTGCCTATTTTCAACATAAATTCTAAAACCAAAAAGAACGGTTGTGATGCACCCTCCGCACTATGCTCCGTCGATCCCACGCACCGCAGAGAACAATGCTCGCTGGACAACTTTAATTACAATGTTCCGCGGCTATATCTCTAAGGTGTGAGTTAAAATTAGTAAACTATCAGGCCGACCGGCATAATTCCGCCACGAGCGTATATATATAGTCTCAGATCGAGAAAACCCGCACTGCGTTAGGGTTTTGGAAATCCTTCCTCGTCGCCGCGCGTCTTAGGTTCGTCTCGTAATTCCGATCGCTGAGAATTTAATTTCCCTTCATGTTTATGTAAATTTGCTACAGATTTAGTTTTTTTCTCTTGTGATCTGTAGCTGTTATTAAGCTTCTAACGAATTTTTCTTTTGATTAGAAATCAGAGAGGCGGTTCTTTCTGTATAAGTTATGTTTTGCATTTTGTATGGTACATGTTCCAGATGGATCTAAAGATATGTAAACTTGAATATATTTTGATTGATCCGTTTTATTAGTTTGTGATGATTTAAATCTGATAAATTAGGCTTATATTAAGTATATATGAAGGCCGGGTTTGTTTATTCAGCTTGCAGAGGTTAAAGCATCCTCTATCGCTTTTCATTCGAGCTGCAAATTTATTGTAGAATTGCTTACGGATAAACTTCTTGGTTTTTTAGCTTGTGTTGAGATTATACTTTTTGGGTTCATAAGTTATCTGTTCAAACATAATATTTGATTGAAATTAAGTTGTGAAAACATCTCTTTTTAATTTGGCTTGTTTTAGTTGTAACGATGGCCAGGCATACTTAGCTTGGCATGGCCAACCCATATTCCAAAAGATAAAACCGAGAGGAAGCATATTTCTTTTTATAATTTCTTTCGATTTTACCCTAGTTCTCATAGGGCTAACAAGTAGGGCAAAATTTATCTTTTTGTTCGGTTCAAATTCAAAATATATTTTTTATATTATTTGCACGATTGTTGTCATTTTCAGACAAGCAAGCAATAAATTTTTTTTTTTTTTGAATAGGACGGATGATCCAAAATAGGACTTGGCCTGGTTTTTAAGTAGGTAATTTGATTTATTTATGAAAAATTTTAGCTTAAAATTTAGACAGGTAGCTATGAGATTTGGGGGACATCCCAACTCATGGTCTATTTTGGAGCGCTAGCAGCTCTGCGCAGCAGCTGTCACAGGAAGCTACTGCGGATAAACTGACTGTTTGTTTTTTTTACAGTTTGAAAATAACTGTGTTGCAACTGTTTATGGACAAATGATCATTTTCCCTCTGTATAGTATTGCTATTAACATATTCAAAACATCACCCAAAATATTGCTATTAACAAATTCATCACCAACTTTCATCCATTTTTTAAATTCCCACTCAAATATCAAAATTCATGATAAAATCCATTCCCATATTTTTCATTAACAAATCCAACACCTGAAACCAAAAAAGGTAAAAGCTAACATGAACCGTGTTTTGAGAGCTATGTATGTAATTATCCCAAAACAAAAAAGAAAATGCAAACCACAAACCATAAATAGCAAAGATATCGAGAAGCACTGCTTAAGGTGCTAGCTATGTAATTATCCCAATAAAACCAAAACGAAGAGATCAAATCCACAAACCAAGCAAACCACATACATGGCACCTGAAACATTGCTAAAAACAAATCAAACAAGGTAAAACTACCATGAAATAGTGTTTCGGGAGCTATGTATGTAATTATATCAAAAAAAAAAAAGTGCAAACCACAAACTATACATAACAAAGATATCGAGAAGCACTGCTTAAGGTGCTAGCTATGTAATCATCCCAATAAAACCAAACAAACATATCAAACCCACAAACCGAGCAGACCACATATAGGGCACCCGAAACATTGCTAACAACAAATCAAACACTCTATTTCAACAATTTCCCAAACTCTCACACAAACATCAAAGGTTAAGATAAAGCCTCATTCTAGATTTTTCTTATTCTATTTCATCAATTTCTCAAATTCTGATTCAAATATCAAAATTCTTGATAAAATCCCTATTCATATTCATAAAATACACAACAACTGAAACATTGCTATTCCAAAATCCAACACCAACTTGTATGCATTTTCCAAATTCTCACTCAAATATCAAAACCATATCGAGTAGAGCAAAACAAATAAAACCAAAACCAACATAACAAATTCACAAACCGAACAAAACAAACCCCAACTGAAATTGCAAAGCACAACGTTTCAAAATCATGAACCAAATCCATCATGGATGCAACATGAAGCATCAAAATCATCAACCAAGCATATCAAATCGAAAACCACTAAACCGAGCAAATAGAGAAATCAGAGAGAGGAAACCAACAACCAAACCGATTGCACAACATTTGCATAATAAAAAAGCCATTGAATAGATAATGCAAAGATTACCAGAACAAAGGGGTGTCGAGCCGAAGAAGGGAAGAGCCAGGGAAGGAGAGAATAGAAAGCTCACCTCAATATCCACCAACCGAAGGAAAGGAACCGCTGCACAGAGCACAAAGTGCGCAAAACCACTAAATCGAGTGAAAGAAAAGAGAGGAGAGGGAAAAGTATGTAAGGGTCACCGAAAAAATCACTTGCAACCAACAAGAGGCAACCAGAAACAACGCTTAGCCACCGGAGCCACAGATCCAAGGGGGAGAGGTACCTAGGGCAAGAGATACGTGAGAGAGGGAGCCATGAGGTCGAGAGAGGTAGAAGAAACGTGAGAGAGGGACACAGGGCCTGCAGGGTTGTCCCCGCGGCCGCGTTTTAACATAAATTATTGACGAACACAGCCGCGTCACTGTTTCCAAAAGACCAAATTCGCTTTTTCAAAACACACCATGCACAAAAAGCTGCTCCAAACAGGTCTTCAATGTTACTAACTTCATCCTTTTAAAATTTGATGAACCTTAGAAAGGCATTTGAAGCAGAAAAAGTTTTTCAATTAAAAAGCATTTTTTTTATGATCCTTGTAAACATTCACGAAATGAGGTTGTGGAAAGTAAGAAAATAACGTTTTTCAATTAGAAGAAATTATTTTTTATCGTATCTGTAAATTAAATTCACATAATTGAGGTTGTTAAGTTTTAATGTAATGAAACCAATTTTTGACTCAACAAACTGCATGCCTAATGTTAATGCGAAAATCACATCTCCTTGTCAATGCTATAGATAAAGTTATAATCATTTTTCTAACCAAGTTGACGATCCGGAGAACTGATGATCACTTGGAAATTTACTGATGCTGAAAATGTTTTCTTCTTTATTGTATCATGATTTTCAGTCAAATTTCTAAGTTATATTTAACCAATTATTTTGTAAATACCATTGGCATGATGCATTTCTTTGTAAAAGAAAAAAATATATAACTCAACATTGATCACTCTGGCCTACGCTTTTTCTTAAACTTAGTGTTGCTGGAAAATGAATTGAATAGTCAAGTATCATTGTTCACTCATGGAAAGACTTTTTTGGGGGGAGGGAGAGTTTTTTTTTTTAATGGTTGAGTTAGAAGATTTGAAGTCGCCTATCATTTTAATATCCTCTAAGACTAATAGTTGATAATTGGGCAAAAAACTTTATTATTTTTCCCAAAATAATAATAATAATTTCTTTTTCTTGCCCAAAGTGCATCATTACCATCACAATGTGATCTGTGCTAGAGTAAATAAATATACATAGAAGAGTAAGCTTTTATCTTCTTGTCAGCTGTTTTTGTTATTTGTCCATTAACTGTGTCTCATCGCAAGTTCCTTTTTGCCTTTATTTTCCATTAATTTGTAACACAGTTTTTTCTAATTTTATTAATTGGATATGAGATGAAATACAAAGATTTTGACCTTTGGTATTCTTAAAAGTTTGAATTCATTACGCAATGTTGAAAAATAAGTAGGATTTGGCTAATGATGCTGAAATGATGAATTATTTTGGAAAGATCCTTGTACTCGATGTACATTTTTCCGTATAATAGATTTTTTTTTATTCTGCCTGTTAAATTAATTTGGGTGATTCTGTTGGTTTCTATATTATTGTTTCTGGACATTTTGTGTCCTAGATTGCTGTCGTTCTTTTTTTTTTGTTAAATTGATATTGTTTCTACTTTTTTCTTTTTTATTTGGGAGTAAATGGATTGGATGAAGAATATTACTAATAATTTAATCATTTGTGCAGATTTTAATTATCTATTTACCTGTTGATCATTTACATTAGACAAGATGGTGAAGTTCACAGCTGAAGAGCTTCGAAGGATTATGGATCTTAAGCATAATATTCGTAACATGTCTGTTATCGCTCATGTTGATCATGGTACGAATCCTAATTATGCTTTTTTCTTTTCCTGTAATTTTTTCCCAGTATTAGTGTTTATTTTCTTGTGAATATTATTCTGGTATATATTGTGGTAAATCTTGCTGATTGTGATGTATTTTTGTAAAGTATGAATATATGAGTTGATGCTCCACAGGCATGTTTTTTCTGTTGAATGGTCAATATGCCATTTAGTCAATCACAGCTCTATAAATTTGAAATGTTTTCTCTACAAAACAGTTTTTTTAGTACATTAGTCTCTTGAATAGTTTTTGTTCTTGGAAATTTAGTATCTTTTGAGGTTCTGACCTATTTTTGGTTGATTAATTTTTGTGAATTTAACACTGTCCCTGTTGTCATTATATGGTTTTGTGCCCGAATTTTTTTCCTCTTTTTAAGGAAAATTTACATACATACAACAACAGTCTTATGTATTTATCAGTGTTATGAAAACGCAAAGTGCATTGTGATGCACAGGTTTTATTTTTGCTTCAAAGCTCAAAATGTAGATTGAAGCTGCACTTTCATAAATCAAAGTGCTAATAGCTTCTATAAAACTATTAATTCATAGATACATTCTTAATAATTATAAAAAATAAAGTAAGAATTAAAAGTTGATATAAAATAGAAAAAATGTTGTAAAACACCAAACTTGAAGGTAACATTTAGTGTGAAGTCGCAAATTAAAATTTCTAACAATTTATTGCTGTAATAATGAAAAACTTAAAATTGGAAAAAAAAAACACTTGCAAATTAACTTCTAAACTTGGAAGCTGGTTTTTAAAAATATTGGTATTTATATATATCTAGCACCTAAACTTTCATATCTACATTTATGACACTTTAGTGTGATAATATGCATGAAAATGTGCATCACTTTAAAATGTTAGTATTGAAAGTTTTTATGTTATGTTAAAAATTTGATTGATGTGCATGTAAATATTATAGTTTAGGCGTTAGATATGAAAATACATAGAATTTATGCCGTATGTATGTAAATGCCTCTTATTTTCGTACCATCCAGTCAACTGCTTTTTGATTGTTTTGCTATCTTTGGATACATGTTTTTGTAAGAATTCTATTTTCTAGCAGTAAAAATTTGTTGGATTTGTTTTCATTGCCAAGACAAAATTATACGATGTTTGAAAATGAAAATCATCTTATGTTTTCTGCAATGCATCAACCATGAGGAACTTGTTTGTACTGAATAATCACAGTTAGAATTTTTATTTATATTTGAATAATATTCTTAATTTTTGGCTAATACCAGTTTTTTGCGTAAATTAACAGTAAAATTTGTGGTTTCTTTTTTTTCCACTTGCATCCATCAACCTGTTGTAGGCAACATGAATTAATTATATAAATAGTATTTAAAAAAAATTATAAACAATATCTATTAAATAGTATACAAATTGTATGAATTAATTAAACAAGATATAATCTTCAAAGAAGAAGCATACATATTTTTTTATTAAATTTATCTGATTGTGAATTTAAATTTTTATTAAATTGAAACATTAACTAAGTTTATATTAAATGTAGCTGAAATATTGCAATTAAACTTAAGGAGATAGTCTTAAAAATCCAAGATTCAATTAAATATCCAACATTGCACACAAATGCTAGCTAAAAGTAATTGTAGAAATAACATATAATATACAAATAATAAAGCTTTATATCAATTATTAAGCTTTCGTTGAGCATTTTAGCTAGTTTGTTTACATGTTTTAAACTTACTGTTCAAGATCATAAATGGGTTGAAGAAGTTGTTCTTCGATTTGCTTATCAAACGAGAGTCAAGCTACAAGTAGTTCGTCAGTTGCAGTTTTATACCGAATGCGTGCAAAAACATAATAATTTATAAATCCCAAGGCACCAAGTACTTCACCCACTTATTTTTTTTAAAATATAAAGTAGAAACACTAGAACTATCAACTAATCAATGACGAAGTGAGCACAGTATTTCAATAAATTCATTGAGAAATCATAACCATGTAGCATAGGATACTAATTGATTTTGTTTTCCGCAAATCTCATTCCCAACATGTTAATTTTGATTAAAGCAGGAGCATTAATTAATTAATTATTTAAATATGTAAAGAAATATGGAATAAGGAATGAAATTAACCAATGAAAGAGGTTTTATCCAGTATTTGTACTAGATTTGAAAGAATAACATCCAATTTTCACGCTTTCATAAGATTGTAATTGAAAGAATATGTCAGAAGGTGAGATTTAGATGCCTTGGAGCAGCTATTTGTAGGCCCTTCACATGGCTAATGTAGATAAGTTTGGCTCAAAATTGGTCTATTTTATTTTCTGAAGAATTGATTTACAAAATTTTTTGTGCTTTTTCATGGTTTCTTTGTTTTTAACAATAAATGGACAGGATTGTAAATAATTTTTTTCTCACGTAAAATCTTTAGCACTGTTATAATTGTTTTTATGCTCTCTCCAGTCCTGCAACATAATGGTTTTTTTTTTTAAATACTGAAGTTGGTTTAATATTTTATGAAATGTGCAGGAAAATCAACTCTGACTGATTCTCTTGTGGCTGCTGCGGGCATTATTGCACAGGAAGTTGCCGGCGATGTTCGAATGACGGATACTCGTCAAGATGAGGCTGACCGAGGCATCACTATCAAGTCTACCGGCATCTCGCTCTACTATGAGATGGCAGACGAAACTCTGAAGAACTACAAGGGTGAGAGGGCAGGAAATGAATATCTTATCAATCTGATTGATTCGCCAGGACACGTGGATTTCTCGTCCGAAGTTACAGCCGCACTACGAATTACTGATGGCGCTCTCGTTGTCGTCGACTGTGTTGAGGGCGTCTGCGTCCAGACGGAAACGGTCCTGCGACAAGCTCTCGGAGAAAGAATCAGACCCGTCTTAACCGTTAACAAGATGGATCGATGTTTCCTCGAGCTTCAGGTTGAAGGTGAAGAAGCTTACCAGACTTTTCAGCGGGTCATCGAGAGCGCAAATGTTATTATGGCTACATATGAGGATCCTCTTCTGGGTGATGTCCAAGTCTACCCTGAGAAGGGTACTGTCGCATTCTCCGCAGGGCTGCATGGTTGGGCTTTTACGCTGACAAATTTTGCTAAAATGTATGCTTCGAAGTTTGGGGTGGATGAGAGCAAGATGATGGAGCGACTTTGGGGTGAGAATTTCTTTGATCCGGCCACGAAGAAGTGGACTACCAAGAACACTGGCTCGCCCTCTTGCAAGCGTGGTTTCGTCCAGTTCTGCTACGAACCGATCAAGCAGATTATTAACACCTGCATGAATGATCAGAAGGACAAGTTGTGGCCGATGCTGTCGAAGCTTGGGGTCTCAATGAAATCTGAAGAGAAGGAACTCGTTGGGAAGGCACTGATGAAGCGGGTGATGCAGACTTGGTTGCCAGCTAGCAACGCTCTTCTTGAGATGATGATATTTCACCTCCCGTCTCCGGCGAAGGCCCAGAAGTATCGTGTTGAGAATCTATACGAAGGTCCTCTTGATGATCAATATGCTAATGCTATCAGAAACTGTGATCCTGAAGGTCCTCTAATGCTTTATGTTTCAAAAATGATTCCTGCATCGGATAAGGGCAGGTTCTTTGCTTTTGGTCGGGTTTTTTCAGGCAAGGTCTCGACTGGTTTGAAGGTGAGAATCATGGGACCAAACTATGTTCCAGGCCAGAAGAAGGATTTATATGTCAAGAGCGTCCAGCGTACTGTTATCTGGATGGGGAAGAAGCAAGAGTCTGTGGAGGATGTGCCCTGCGGTAACACCGTCGCCATGGTTGGACTCGATCAATTCATCACGAAGAATGCTACTCTTACTAATGAGAAGGAGGTTGATGCCCATCCTATCAGAGCCATGAAATTCTCCGTCTCTCCCGTCGTTCGTGTCGCTGTGAGCTGCAAGGTCGCCTCTGATCTCCCAAAGCTTGTGGAAGGTTTAAAGCGCCTCTCAAAATCTGATCCCATGGTCGTCTGTGCCATCGAGGAATCCGGCGAGCATATTGTTGCAGGGGCCGGTGAGCTCCACCTCGAGATCTGCCTGAAAGATTTGCAGGATGATTTCATGGGTGGCGCGGAGATTGTCGTGTCTGACCCTGTTGTCTCTTTCCGTGAAACCGTTATTGACAAATCCAGCAGAACAGTGATGAGCAAGTCTCCTAACAAGCATAACCGGCTTTACATGGAAGCACGACCCTTGGAAGAGGGCTTAGCAGAGGCCATTGATGATGGCCGTATTGGTCCGCGCGATGACCCCAAGGTCCGTGCCAAGGTGCTGTCTGAAGAATTTGGGTGGGACAAAGATCTAGCAAAGAAGATCTGGTGTTTTGGCCCGGAGACCACTGGACCAAACTTGGTGGTCGACATGTGCAAGGGAGTCCAGTACTTGAACGAAATCAAGGACTCCGTCGTCGCTGGTTTTCAGTGGGCTTCAAAGGAGGGTGCCCTCGCAGAGGAGAACATGCGAGGGATATGCTTTGAAGTATGTGACGTCGTACTCCATGCCGACGCGATTCACAGAGGCGGCGGGCAAGTGATTCCGACCGCAAGGAGAGTTATATACGCCTCTCAACTGACGGCGAAACCCAGGCTTCTGGAGCCTGTATATCTGGTGGAGATCCAAGCTCCGGAGCAGGCTCTTGGAGGCATATATGGCGTTCTGAACCAGAAAAGAGGCCATGTGTTTGAAGAAATGCAGAGGCCGGGCACTCCTCTCTACAACATCAAAGCTTACTTACCCGTCGTTGAGTCGTTCGGTTTCTCGACGGCTCTGAGGGCGGCGACCTCTGGCCAGGCCTTCCCGCAGTGTGTGTTCGATCACTGGGACATCATGTCGTCGGATCCGTTGGAGGCGAATTCGCAGGCGGGGCAACTCATAACGGACATTCGGAAGAGGAAGGGTCTGAAGGAGCAGATGACCCCTCTGTCGGAATTTGAAGATAAGCTGTAAGAGAAATTTTGAACTCCAATCTGTAGGTTGGTGGTTATGAGTCCTCTTTGAAGGTTCGTCTGTCCCTTTTTTTTACCCTGTTTCTCTGTTTTTGTTCTGCGGGTTATTTTATGAACTATTTTTGTTGTTGCACTAATTTTATTTGTGGTTGGACTTTGTATGTCACATACTTGCTGTATTCTAAGTTAATTTTGAACATGTTATTGTCTTTTTTGTTATAATTATCTACGGTGCAGTTACATACATACCACACAATTCTTATATTTGCATATCTACCATCTAGACATCGATATTTACCTGCATAAAAGTTTCACATTGCATAAAAAATATTACAATTACTCTTTTTTTAAAAACTAATATCTAACACTGTAGCTTCAGTTTATATATTCAGTTTATATATATATATATATATATATATGTTGTCTGTAAGGAAAGATTATCACGTCCGTCGCTCAAACGTCTAGCTGCGTTCGGGCGTCCGTCGCCCAGACTTCGAGCTGTGTCCGAGCGACGGACGAAATAATTTTTTGTCAGCAAGAGAGTTTTTGTTTGTTATGATAGTTGAAAGAGTAATTTTTATGTGTTAGTGAAAATTTTGGATGGTATAAATATAAAAAAGTAATGGTATGAATGTGTTAGATATGTAAATAAATTAGAATGTAAAACGCCCTATAAAAAACTATATTGCACTAATATTATTTTATGTATATAAGATTTTTAACCCACAATATATAAATTTGTGTAAAGGTACTGTTTATTTCTTTTGGTTTGGTGTATAGCTGTATCAACTAATGTGGAATTAGGTTGAGATTATTATTATGATTGTATTAAAATCGGGTTAATGCTTCTGTTGAAATTTATTGGCTGAAATTGACTGGTCTGAATGGTCTTGAAGTGCGTTGATATGTAGGATTATTTTTGTAATAAAAATAAATAATAAAAAAAAAATTTAGCCCGGATGTTCAAATAAAATTTGGGAATATTTACATACACATGGACGAAAAATTAAAGTAATTGGGTCTGACATGAACATTGTGCCAAACATAACTTCGTTTTTCATAAATTTGTCAAATTGTTGTAGGTCGGAAGATTTGCGGTGAGAGTGGTTATTTAGGGGGTGTATTTGGGGTGGCAGTGCGGCCGTGGTGTCGTGCTGTATCATAATTTTTTATGTTTGGTACAAGCTTGCATTTTCAAAAAACTGCAGATAAAGGCTGCATTTTCGGTTATTTAGGGGGTGTATTTGGGGTGGCAGTGCGGTCGTGGTGTCGTGCTGTATCACAAGTTGTGATTATTTGTTGTGGTTCCTAGAAAATTGCAGTAACTTTTCCAATTTTTTTTTTTTAACAATAGGTTTTTTTTTCCAATAGTTTTATTGTTACTTCTTCAAACAAGTGCAACTGCTTCAAATCGATACTTAATGCCTTCGCATTGAATGAAAATTCAATTTGCAAAGATAATAGAAAAAACAAAAATAGGAGCCACCTCGACTTTCTATATGAAAAATCATGAAAAAGGGAAAAAAAAGGAGGGGAGCTGATATATATGAAATAAACTACTATGTCATTGTGAGTACTACAAAATTAATCATCATAGATATATAATAATATTTCATCAATAATAGTTATTATCTAGTTGTAATTCTTTGTGATAATTATGATGATATGTCCTAAGAGCCATAGTCGGGTTGTTATCAAGACTATAATTTGCCATGAATATTCTAGACGTGAGTTGTGGTATCTGCTTGTTGTTGAGACCGAAGTTGAAAATCATGAAGGTCGTAAGCGATAGCTTCAGAAGCATTAGTTGACCACAATGGCCACAATAGATGTGATAGCCTATGTAGGCCTTGAAAGTCAGATTTGAGAGCTGCAAAAGCTGCAAACCAAGTAGGTCGTAGTTGCTCATATAAGTCGTAATAGTGAGCGACAATAACTTCCATAGGTGGCATATGCAGGAGTTTGGAGCTGTATGAGTTGTAAGCCATGTAGACCGTAATTGATCACATAGGTCGTAACATCTGTATATTGGAGTTTGGAGTTGCATGAACTATAAGCCACATAGGCCTTAGTTGGTCACATAGGCCATAATAGTAAGTTACAGTGACATTCGTAGGTCACAAAGGGTTGAGTTGGGAGCTGCATGAGCTGTGAGCCACATAGGACATAATTTGTCACAAAGGGCGAAGTAGTAGATCACAAAGGTCAGAGTTGAAAACTACATGAGTTGTGGACCACTTAGACCGTAGTTGTTCACGTAATATGTAGTGGTGAGCTGCAATAACATCCATAGACCATAGAGTCCGAAGTTGGGAATTGCATGAGCTGTGGACCACGTAGGTTGTAGCTTATCAAGTAGGCCGTGGTGGTGAGTCAAAATAACGTATGTAAGTCGCAAAGTCCGAAGTTGGAAGTTGCATGATTTGTAGACCACGTAGGCTGTAGTTTTTCAAGTTGTGGTGGTGAGTCACAATAACGTTTGTAGGTCGCAAAGGTCGGAGTTGAGAGTTCTATGAGCTATAAGCTACATGAGCTTTAGTTGTTCACATAGACCGTAGTGGCGAGTTGTAATAATGCTTGTAGGACATAGAGGTCGAAGTTGAGAGTTGCAATAGCTTTGAACAACATAGGCAGTAGTTGGTTACATAGTCCATATTGGTGAGTTGCAATAACATTCGCAGGTTGCAGAGGTCGGGATTAGGAGTTGCGTGAGCTGTGGATGACAAAGACCGTAGTTGGTCGCATAGGTCATAGTGGTGAACTACAACAACATCTGTAAGTCGTAGAGGCCAAAGTTAGGAGCGACATGATCTGCAATATTGTCTGTTGGGAGCGACATGAGTTGTGAGCCACATTGGCTGTAGTTGGTCACATAAGCCGCAGAAATGAGTTGCAATATTGTTTGTTTTCCATTGTGGTCAGAATTGAGTAGTGCATGAGCTGCGAGCCACGTCTGTTTTAATTGGTAACATAGGCTGTAATGGTGTGTTGTAGTAATTTATGTAAGCCACAAGACCGGAGTTAAGAGCTATATGAGCTGTGAATTATGTAAGTCATAGTTGCTCACATAGACTGTAGTGGTGAGGGGCAATAACATTTGTAGACCGTAGAGGTTGGAGTTGGGAGTTACGGTAACATCTGTAGGCAAGAAAAGCAAGAGCTTGGAGCTGAGATAACGCATGTAGGCCATAGAGACTAGAGTTGGGAGCTACATGAGTTGTGAGTTACGTAGGATGTAGTTGGTCGTCTAGACCGTAGTGCTGAGCTATAACAATGCCTATCAGTCATAGAAACAGAGTCCGGAGAAAGTCATTTTAGGTTATAAATGGGATGCATTATTACACTAACTTCAGGGTGCGTCCTCTTCATGCTATTAGGAGCGTGTCAACCAAAGAGAATGATGCGTAAGGAAATTCTCTAACAGTTTTCTTTTCTCTAAACAGGCTAATAACAAAGGCAGAAAAGGAAAGTACTTTTTTATGTTATTTTTACGCAAATAACTCATGTAAATATAATAATTATTTATACATAAAAAATTGTCACATGCTTAAGAAGAATTTTAAATTAATAAAACTGTTAGCATTTTTCTACATAATGCCAAAAACTAAATAATCATCAATTTGGCGCATGTCATAATGCTCTATTGCGAGCGACGAAGGCCACCCGTCCCTTCTTAAATCCACCTTCAACCTAAAGTCCGAGCAAACAAATCACTCTCAGCTCGCCGGTGTCAATCAAGTTCCCACGAGTACCTTTCCAATGGCCCTAAAGTTGATACATTTCCTCTTCATCTTCTTGCCCTATCCCTTCTTCTTCCACAAAACCTCTGCCCAATCTTCGTGGAACCAAAAGCAAATCCTCGTCAACATCAAAAACGATTGGGGAAATCCTCCTTCACTCAACTCATGGAACCTCACGGGAGACCACTGCAAATTCGCCGGAATCCATTGCTCCGACGATGGCTTGGTCGACGGCATATTTCTCAGCAAAAGCAACATCTCCTTCCCCATCCCTGCTTCCATCTGCGATCTCAAAGGTCTCACCTTTCTTAAACTCTCCGATAATAGCATCCCCGGCGAATTCCCTATCTTTCTCTACAACTGTTCCAAGTTGCAGGAGCTGGACATCTCACAAAACTACTTTTCCGGCGAGCTCCCCGCCGACGTCGACAAGATGCCCAGCAATCTAACTCATTTCGTGATCTCCGGCAACAACTTCGACGGCGAAATACCACCAGCCATCGGTCGGATGCCGTCGATTAAGACCTTAGATCTTAGCAATAATTTGTTTATCGGTACGACTCCGCTGGAAGTGGCGAATCTTTCGAAACTGGAGGCGCTGATGCTGGCTTACAATCCCTTTTCACCGGCGAAGATTTCCCCGGAAATCGGCAACCTGACTCGTCTTACATATCTCTGGATGTCAAAAATGAATCTCTTAGGCGAAATCCCGAAGAGTTTTGGGAAGCTTGTGAATTTGGTGCACCTTGATCTAGCAAGGAATTCGCTTGTTGGAGAGATTCCGGCGAGTATTTGGATGATTAAACCGCTGAAAAATTTCTACTTGTATGCGAACAATCTCAGCGGAGAGATCAGCAGCACAGTCGGCGCCCATGGGTTGGCCGTGATCGATCTTTCAAAGAACGAACTCACCGGCTCAATACCAGAAGCCTTTGGGGAATTGCGGAACCTCACGATTCTCTTCTTGGAGTTCAACAATCTTTCCGGCGAAATTCCTGCGAGTATTGCACGGCTACCAAAGCTGATTGATATACGTCTCTTCAATAACAGGCTTCAAGGTGTTCTGCCACCGGAAATGGGGAAGTACTCCCGGCTGTGGAACTTCGAGGTGGACGACAATATGTTCACCGGCGAGCTGCCGCAGCATCTCTGCGACGGAAAGGCGCTGACTTCTTTAATTGTCTTCAACAACCAGCTCATCGGTAAGCTTCCGAAGTCTTTGGGAAGCTGCGACACGTTGCTTAATTTTCAGATACAGAACAATCGGTTTACCGGCGAGTTTCCCGCCGGAATTTGGTCGGCGGTAAACCTAACTCTTGTTATAACAACCCAAAACGCTCTCACTGGAACTCTACCCGACAAACTTCCCTGGAATCTAACCAGACTCGAGATCCAAAACAACCAGTTTTCCGGCAAGCTCCCATCTTCCGCCGGAGGGCTTTTGGTCTTCCTTGCCGACGATAACAAGTTGTCCGGCGAGATTCCGGCGAGCTTCTTTGCGATGGCGCTACTTCAACGACTGTCTCTTAGCGGAAATCAGCTCTCCGGGGAGATCCCCTCTGAAATTGGGTCTTTGAAGCATCTCGCCTTCCTGAATCTCAGCAACAACCAGCTCTCCGGTCAGATACCTGTTACAATGGGATCCATGCTACTCAACACCCTCGACCTCTCAAAAAACCAACTTTCCGGCGAGATCCCTTCCACTCTCGGCTCCATAAAGTTCATCTCTTTAAACCTCTCCTTCAACGATCTCACCGGCCAGATCCCTCTCCCGTTACAAAACCAAGCTTACGAACAGAGCTTCCTTGCCAATCCAAACCTATGCGCTTTCCACTCCATCTTCAGCATCAAAAACTGTAATAACCGATCAAAGAAACCCTCCCTCATCCTTCTCACTCTCTTCTCCATCCTCGGCGCCCTCATTTTCTCCTGTGCGTTCTTCCTCTGTTTTCTCATAACCAGAGAACGCCGCCAGCGTAGAAAAGCTGGCACCTTTTCATCAGACTGGAAACTTACCTCTTTCCAAGCAATCAATTTCGATGAATCTGCTATCCTCAACAGCCTTACCGGCGACAACCTCATCGGAATCGGTGGCGGCGGTAAAGTCTACCGCGTTTCTCTCATCGGCGACACGATCGCCGTCAAGAAGATCCACAACACTGCCAGACTTGATTCCATTATCGAAAAGCAATTTCAAGCTGAAGTTGAGATCCTTAGCTCCATCCGCCATGAAAACATAGTTAAACTTCTCTGCTGCATCTCCGGCCAGAATTTAAAACTCCTCGTCTACGAATACTTACAGAATGGCAGCCTTGATAGGAGGCTTCACCGCAGATTGCGAGGTGACGCGGCGCCGCTTGACTGGCGAACTAGGCTGCAAATCGCCATTGGAGCTGCTAAAGGACTCTGTTACATGCACCACGATTGCTTCCCGCCGTTCGTTCACCGTGATGTGAAATCAAGCAACATACTTCTTGACCCCGAATATCACGCCAAGATTGCAGATTTCGGGCTTGCGAAGATTTTAGAGAGGGCAGGGGAGCCGGAGAGCGTGTCGGCGGTGGCTGGTTCGTTTGGGTACATGGCGCCGGAGTGTACTAGTCTGAAGAAAGTTAATGAGAAGGTGGATGTTTATAGTTTTGGGGTGGTGCTTTTGGAGTTGGTGACGGGGATGGAAGCAGGGGATGGAGGGGAAGAGGAAGATGAGAACTTGACTGACTGGGCGTGGAGGAGGTATAGGGAGAATGGGGTAGCGGTGGACCAAGAGATCGCCGGAGTTTCGCCGGAGTGGGTGAGGGAGGCGGAGTTGATGTTTAAGATAGGGATTATGTGCACTGTAGATGATCCCGGAAAAAGGCCGACGATGAAGGATGTGGTGCAGATGTTGATGAAGCTCTATCGCGGCAGTGGTATCGGCGGCGGCGGGGTAGGGAAACCGCTGTTGGAAAGCAGGATTAAGACGGGGAGTAGGAGGAAGCAGGTTGTGGATATTGCGGATGATAGTGATGATAGTGTGCTTAGTCAAAATGCCGGACTTCTATCTCTGTAGACAATAAGCTTGACTTTCTTCTTAGGTTTGATCCAATAAATTGATAGTGCTGTCCAATCGGGTGTTCGAGTCGGATTCGTGTAAGCTTGCATTTGTTCCAACCCATAAAGGTGTGATCCGAACACGACTCATTTGTTAAACGAGTCAAAAAATTAACCTAAAATCAATTCGCCTTCAATCTGATTCACCCAGTGGCATGTTTGGGCGTACATTTCTAGTTAAAATAAGAACAAAGTTCATGTCAACATTGGGTTAAGTTTGGATTCACAAATCAACTAGGTTCTACCGAAGAAATTAAATGGATACTAGAGTTGGACCTAAAAGTTGATCAAGTCAGCTCAAACTCAAATATGTTCAGGTTGAGTCCATGTTATGTTATTGAGCCAAGTCAACTATTAACACCTCTATCAATCAAAACTTAATATCAATATTTTCCAATCGAATATTGATCGAATCAAATTTATACATTAACTCGTTTGCTTGTTTATGTGTGTATATATTTGTTTTCCAATTAATGAAAGGCTCACGTAGAATACTAAAAAAATTAATTATGTCTATCACTCGCATCTAATATATAATTAATTAGATTTGATTAAAGCTTAATAATGACTCAAAACTAGATAATAATATTAATAGACAAGCTTTAACAACAGAAAAATTAGAGACATGTTCATAAATAAACTTGATTCTACTTTATTCAATTACAATCTAACTATCTATTGTTTAATGGTTGGCTAATGGATTTGTTGCTTTGAATGTAATTATTCCATATTTTTTTAATAAATTTAGTTTCTTATACGCATTAAGTATATATA